GAGGAGGAGGAGGAGGAGGAGGGGTCCGGGGACCGATGTTGAGCGGATTCGGGCTGGGCGGGGGAGCCGCTGCCGTCGTCTCGACTGGTCGTCCTCCGAGTCGTGACGGGCTGTCCGCTCGTCCCTGACTTGCTCGAGGTTTGAGGCTCGGTGGCGCTGGTTCCTTCTCTTGGGCATCCTTTGCCGCGAGCGGCAGCCACTTCGCATGGCTCCTCTCTGAGCCTGAGGCTGCCAGCACTGCGCGTGAAGTGCTTCATGCTCTGAGAGGGTCTCCCCCCTCCGCCTTTCTCCGCGGCCGCCCTCCACCTCTTTCGCGAAGCGGCTGTTGCTACACAACGCTTCGTGACCCACGCCACCGCTGGCAAAGCAGGTTCTTGGGCCTGTGGAGGCCTACAAGAACCTCCAGGAACCTCAGCTAGGGATGGCGTCCGACTCGGGGCGGCGGGGTGTCTTCCTATCGCCCTTGTACTGAGGAAGCACGTTCTGGCCTCGCTCGGTGTGCAGACGTCGACCAACGTTTCGCTTTGCATTTTTGCTCGTCCATTGATGTCTGCCCATTTCTGCTGCCGCGCTGCCACCTCCTGCCGCCGCCGCCGCGCCCCACCCCGAGATTGATGCGGCCGCGCTCTGTCAGCTCGCCGCCGCCGCCCCCTCCGCCCCCCAGAGATGACGTCGGCCAGACGGGGGACGTACTGGGGGAACTATCCGAACCGACTCCAATTCGGCGGCGAGCCCGGTGTGGAAAGTGAGAAGGAGAAAGCCTTCTCAGAAGGCGGCGGGGCTACTCAGAGGCCCTCCAGTCTTCTGAGGAGTTTTCTGCGTCTTCGGGGAAGGCTCAGGAAGCTTCTCAGAAGGCCAGGGGACTTCCGAACCTTCTGAGAAGGCCCGCCCCTTCTCACTTCACCCCTGGGCTCGCCGCCAACCTCTGCCAAGCTGGACTGCATCCAGCAGCTTCGTGCGCGTCACATGTTAAATCACCGAGCGCGTGCCACTACTCGCAAAGTGCCTACTGGCAAACGTCAGAGAAAAAAACCCTCTATGGACTGGATCGTCAATCCACCGCGGCGGATCCAGGCCCTTTGCGAGTAGTGGAACGCGCTTACCCCATTGAAATTAGCGCCCGGGAGGCAGCTAGCAGCTTGATGCTAAGGCGATGCTTTCGTCGACTTCCTCACCAGAGAGGCCACGCCGACCAACGGCACGGCGAACGCCGCTGCGCTCGGCGCGGGCCTGTAGCATGTCGGAGGGCCGCGCGGGCAAAAAGGAGCCACGCGCCTGCTGCTACTGTTGAGTCGGGCCTGTCCTCCTCTAGGAGAGATGCTCAGAACTAGTCAAAAAATAGTCTGGGGACGATCCTCGATGCTTTTCGCTTATGCTTGAGCATGTCTTGCATCCTGTGTCCTTCTCTCACCACCCACCAAACCACCCCAACCCAACCCGAAGGCTCCCAATTGCCCCCCATTTCCAGTGGGGGGGGGGGGGGTCGGGGAGCGTTGAGAAAACACATATGAAACCCTTACCCCCCCCCCAACCCGAAATTCGGGTCTTCGGGTTGGGTTGGGGTGGTCTGGTAGGTACGGCAGGTCCGTGTCGTGCCGACTTCGGCGTTGGTTTTTGACACCGCGCTGGATCGTTCAACCTTGAACGATCGGCCGCTGCCGCAACGTCCGATCGTTCAACATCGACCGATTCTGGGTCGCCGGCGGCGTTCAACCTTGAACGCCCGCGCTGGGGTCGCCGCTGGTCGACACGACGCAAACCTACCGTAGCCACTTCTCCCTCCCAAATCCGTCTGTTGGGGGGACAGGCCCGACCCGAGGCTCCTTGCCACGGCCGGGCGGCGAGGCCCCGCCCGCACCAGAAACCCCGTGCGCCTGCCCCTCCTGGCGGCTCGGCAGGGCCCGCAGAAGCAGACCCGCCGCGAACCCCAGACCCCCCTCGAGTCATGAAAACATCACGACGGGAGGTTTTTCGCTATTTTCGGCCTCCGGGGGCCCTCACCGGCCCTCGGGACCGTCCAAGAACGACTCGGGATGAAAAGCCGGTCCTGGGGAATAGGTCTGGACCTCTGGGGGCTGCGTCATGAAAAAACCATGACGTCGGGGGTCTGGGACGGGAGCTCCCGGCGCTCCGCGCGGACTCCTCTCGGCTCCGCGCGGGGCCCCGTCGAGGGGCTTCGGGGCGGAAGAGGCCGTGGGCTTCCTCGCCCCGGTCCTTCGGAGAGGCAAACACGCCATGCACGTAAACTTCTGGCGCGCCGCGCGGACTTTTCTTGGATCCGCGCCGGGCCCCCCCGGCGCCGCCCCCGGCGCCGCCCCCGGCGCCGCCCCCAGCGCGCTCCGCGCGCCAGGGAGGAGGGTCCTTTTTTTGATTGGCGGCTCCAAGGACAGATCCAGGAAGCGGGGCGGGCTCGACTGGGGCACAGAGCGAGATGATTAGCTGAGGGAGGAGGGTCCGGCGCAGATGCAAGAAAAGTCCGCGCAGAGCGCCAGAAGTTTATCCGTAAGGGCTTCGCCCCCTGCCGCCGGCCCCCTCTCTCGGAGAATGGGCCATGGAAGAGCTAAGTCATGAGGTCTTGGCGCTGTCGTGAAGCAGTATCGAAACTTCATGCGAAGCCGATTCGCAATCAGCAAAACCAACTGATCACAAGAGGGGTTACCACACCTGGCGATTGGTAAGACGTGTATGGTTTACGGGCTTGGTTACCACACCTTGCGATTAAAGGGCCGCGGGAGTTCTCGCAGTTTGGGTTACCACGCCTTGCGATGGATGTGCGTGAAGGGTGGCACCGAATTTCAGAAATGTGGCAAATCCCTTGTGTTTTTGGACCCTGACCCCGCGGATCTGCGTAAGGGGTGGCGCCGAATTTCAGAAATGTGGCAAATCCCTGTGTTTTTGGACCCTGACCCCGCGGATCTGCGTGAGGGGTGGCACCGAATTTCAGAAATGTGGCAAATCCCTGTGTTTTTGGACCCTGACCCCGCGGATCTGCGTGAGGGGTGGCACCGAATTTCAGAAATGTGGCAAATCCCTGTGTTTTTGGACCCTGACCCCGCGGATCTGCGTGAGGGGTGGCACCGAATTTCAGAAATGTGGCAAATCCCTGTGTTTTTGGACCCTGACCCCGCGGATCTGCGTGAGGGGTGTCGATTTCGAGCCCCCCCAGCAATTCAGACAACGCGCCCAGGGGACGCTAAAAATCCCGTTTGGGCCTCCCCCCCCCTCGCGCGGTCAATCAACTAGTTACAGTAACCAGCAAGAAGCAAACCTGCAACACTGGAAACTACAAGCTACAGCTGGTACAGGAAACTGCGAATCACGGGCCTACAGCCTGGTGGCCCCACAAGGGGGCCGGCGGACTTACGTTCGTGGCGGGTTTGCGTCTTCGAAGGCTCGGCGCGAGGAAGCCCACGGTCTCTTCCGCCTCGAGGCCCCTCGACGGGGCCCAGCGCGGAGCCGAGAGGAGTCGGGGGCGGCGCCGGGGGGGCCCGGCGCGGATCCAAGAAAAATCCGCGCGGAGCGCCAGAAGTTTACGTGCATGGCGGGTTTGCTTCCTCCTCCTCCTCCTCCTCCTCCTCCCTCCTCCTCCTCCTCCTCCTCTCCTCCTCCTCCTCCTCTCCTCCCCTCCTCCTCTCCTCCTCCCCTCCTCCTCCTCCTCCTCCTCCTCCTCCTCCTCCTCCTCCTCCTCCTCCTCCTCTCTCCGCAGGGTCGGGGCGAGGAAGCCCACGGCGTCTCTTCCGCCTCGAGAGGCCCCCCGGGCGGGGCGAGAGAGGCCTCGGCTCGACTCGGTCCGACGGGGGGGGGGGCAAGCAGGGAGGGGCCGCGGCGAGCCGACGAGGGAGCAGCGGCCACAGCAGAAACGGTCGGGGCCCCGCGCGGAGCTCCGAAAGTAAATGTGCAATGTGTATCCCTAAGGGCTTGTCGACTTTTCGCCAATCGACTTGTGAGAATCGAGCCAGATAAGCCCAGGTGAATGTAGATAAATCGAGGTCAATCCAGGTCAATCCAGGTAACTCTAGATGAATCTGGGTAAATCCAGGTAAATCCAGAGATCTCCAGGGAAAGTTCGAGCACTTCGCGGCCGCTCCAGCGCGAGTCGAAGGACGGCAGAAGTCGTTGAGCCTTTAACGAGTGTATGCCGTTTTTCGTTTCTCTGTGGAGTTTGGCCGCTCCGGCCTGCTCATCGCGGAGCTCTGCCACGTCTGGGCATTTCCCCCCTCCTCCCCCGCGCGCGGCCGCCCTCGTCTCCTTTCCTTCCCCGAGCACGCCGGACAATTCGCAGATCGGTTGCCCCGATTGGGCTCACGCTGGAGCGGACTGCCTCTGCCCCGCCGCCGACGGGAGGGGCGGGAGGGCGGAGTGGCAGGGAGGGGCGCAGGGGCGTAGAGGGGGGAGGGGGGGGTGCGAGGAGCCAGAGCCCGAGGAAGGAAAGGTGGGGTCCGACCAGGTAGGGCCGGAGGATCGCGCCGCATCGCCGATGCATTGGCGATGCGGCTTGATGTGGAGCTCGATTTTCTCCACGCCAGCGTCGCCGATGCATCGTCGATGCGGCGCGATCCTCCGACCCCGTCTACTCCGACCCGATCTGCGGTCAGGAGTTTGGGCTCAGAGTGTCGCGTCGCCGGTTCTGGCCCACCACGCCGCGACGCGACTCGCTAGCCACGTCCTGGTCCCCGGGCGTCCACGCGCCGATGCTTTCCGAGCTTCCAGCCCCCGCGGAGCTGAGCGGCGCACTAGCACTACCCGCTTGCCAGGGAAGACGTGTCACCGGAGCCGCCGTGGCGACACGCTACGCAATTTTTCCCGATCGTAAACATGCAACATGCACTGTCGGATATCCACACAAGCTTCCAGGTAGGGGCGTCCAGCGCCGATTCAAGAAATCCGCGCGGACCTTTGAAAGTGTATGCTTGTGCCGATGCTTCTTATTCTGCAGTGGAGAGTTCACAGCGGTAGCCGTTGGTCTCTAGCAGAAGCGCCCGTGTTTTGAGAGGCTGAATGCGCGCCCGATGGATGGCAGGGAGGAGGGAAAGCGAGGACGAATGGTGGAGACGGATGCTAGGGTCAACAGCTGCGCTAGCAGTACGCTCATGCAGCACATTGGTAAGCCCAGGTGTGATGGAAGAAGGGGGGTTGTAGCTTGGTCGGCGGCCTCAGAGATACATGGACCTGCTCAGCTGCTTTACAAAGCACAGACACACAGAAAGCGAGAGAGAGAGAGAGACGGCGAATCTGGACCGTCGACGAGGCATGCGTTGGCCCCAACGTGACCTTAAGTTGCTTATCCGTGAGTCGACCCAGAGAAGTTGACCACCTGTCTTGGGACGTGCGACCGACGTACCAGCATCATGCGAATTAGGAACACATTCTTCTTGGAGTACGACCCCCATGTAAACCAGTATCCCCTTGTGCCGGTGTTCGCAGCCTCATCTCCTCTGCTGCCTTACCTCAGCTTGTCGATGTTTCGCATCGTCTCGAGCACCTGTCTGCGCAGCACAGGCTGGTCACCATCTCTTTGCGTCCACCTTCCTCTCTTCCGCCACGCCGTCCCTGAGATCCGACGTAGCGAAAAAATGCAACATCGTAAAACATCACGACTGGGGCCCTAGACCCCATCTTTCTGCAGCATGTCTCAAGCCAGATTGGTCTGTGAGGGTCCCGGCGCCTGACGCCAGGCGGAAACGCCCAGAGCGAAGAGAAACACAACGCCCAGATCTCAGGGTTTGCGTCCTCTCGTTCGCCAGTCCACGCTTCTCTCCCAGACGCCCCGTCGTCGTGATTTGTTCACCACGGCGACCCCCAGAGGTCTGGACCCCTTCCCCAGGACCGGTTCTGCATCCCGAGTCGTGTTCTGACGGTCCCGAGGCCCGGGAAGGGCCCCTGGAGGCCGAAGAAAGTGAGAAACCGCCCGGGGCGATTTCTGTTGCAACGCGGGGGTCTGGGTCTCCTCCACCAGGCCGAGCTCCTCTCTCCCGCTCTCGAGCCCCCCGCCCCGCCAGAGCTGGCGCTGCCGTCGCCGGCGCTGGCGTCGGCGCGGCGCCGCCAGAGGCGCGCGAACGACGAGGCCCGGGGGCCGCGCGAGACCCCGCGGCGAGTTGCGGCCTGTGGGGGCTGGGCGAGGAGGAGGAATAGGAGGAGGAGGAGGCGGAGGAGGAGGAGGAGGAGGACAAGGACAAGGACAAGGAGGAGGAGGAGGAGGAGGAGAACGAGCACGAGCACGAGCAGGAGCAGGAGGA